TTCCAGCATTCAGTCCTGCAGTGGTGTAACTCCAGGGAAGCCCAGGGCTGGAGCAGGTAACGTGTTCCCCAGCTGCCTGGCATCTTCCCTGAGAGCAGCCTCCCTACCTGTGTGATACTTGTACGTGGTATCCAGTGTCCCATCTGGGCCTATTCCACCAAAAATGTACAAGTGTTCCTGGAAGGCTGCCGAGGAGTGGGATGCCCGTCCTCCAGGGACGTCCCCAGTGGCTGGGATCTTCTCCCACCTCATGTCATCTGGTGCAGGAAACAACACGTCCACGGTTATGCATTACACAAACTCCAGGCATTTTGTTGATTTAAACAAAGCAGGTAATACTTTAAGCACTTAAGAACTAGTATTTCAGAAAAAAATGTCTGCCCAGATCAAAGCACAGCTCACAGGCACTGCCCTGCCTGTTCCATCCACACTTACTGGTATCCATGCAGAACAGGTCATTGTAAAACACATCTCCAGCTAAACCTCCATGGATGAAGAGCTTGGTCCCAACTGCAACCACGGCGTGCCCGTGCCGAGGAGAAGGGGGCTCACCATGAGTCTCGGGCTGGGACCAGGTCAGGGTGGCTAAAATGGCAAGTACAGGTGCATTAGGAAGAAAACTTAGGAAGAAAACCCTGGAAATTCTACAGACCAGCAGCCCCAGAGCCCTGCCGAGGCTGCCCATCCAAGCCACTGGCTGTCAATTCCCAGTGACCACAAGGGCCTGTCAAGAGAAGAACGGCCACCCATCCCGTGGGACTCCTCCAAAGAGAGCTCAGCAATTCCAGCCCTCCGGCTGCACCCCAAGGGCAGCTCCATCCCCCGGGTGGGAGGTACCTGTGTCGAACACGTGCAGCCGCCGGTCCTTCACCGGCTCCGCTCCCTTGTCTCCTCCCCCGAACACGAACAGCCGGGCCCCGACGGCCGCCGAGGACGTGTGGAATGTCCGAGCTTGCGGCTGCTCGCCGCTCACCGCAGGGCTCTCCCACGTTCCTATTTCTAGTTAAGACATTTCATTAACCGGACAACCACGACGGGAAGGGAGGCCAGGCCCGAGCCCAGCCCGGGGCACTCACCGGGGTCCAGCACCTGCACGCAGCCGCGGTTCCCGGCGGGGTGGGCTCCGCCGAACACCCAGAGGCGCGGGGGGCCGCTGGCCGACAGCAGCGTGGCGTGCTCGTAGCGCGGCCTCAGTCCGCGCCAGCCGGCGGGGACCCAGCGCAGCGGGGCTGTGGACGGCGACAGGCGATCGGACCCGGAACCGGCCCCGGTCCCGGTCCCGGCCCCGGCCCGGCCCGGCCCTCACCCAGCTCCACGAAATGCGCGTCCGCGAAGGCCCCGGCGGGGTCGGCACCGCCCAGCAGCAGGACGCGGCCGGGCAGGAGGAGGCAGCCGAGTCCCACGCGGCCGCGGGGCCGCTCCCCGCGCGGGCTCAGCCGGTACCTGCGGGGCGAGGGCGGCGCTCAGCGCGGGCTGCTCCCGCCGGTCCCCCCCCATGGCGGCGGGGCCGCTGCCGGGCCGCCCGGCCGGAAGTGCCTCCGGAAGTGCCGTGCGCTTCCGCCCGCGCCGGCGGCGCGCTCCGCCGCCCGGAAGTGGCGGGGGGGGCCCGCTTCTGGCCGAGCCCGTGCCAAGATGGCGCCGCTGGACCTGGACAAGTACGTGGAGATCGCGCGGCTCTGCAAGTACCTGCCCGAGAACGACCTCAAGGTGCGGCCGCGGCGGCGGGGCCGGGACCGGCCGGGGCGGGCAGGGGCCGGCGCGGGCGCTGCCGGGCGGGCCGGAGCGGGCGGTGCCGGTGGTCCCGGCGCTGACCCCGACCCTGCCCCGCTCCGTCCCGCAGCGCCTCTGTGACTATGTCTGTGACCTGCTGCTGGAGGAGTCCAACGTCCAGCCCGTCTCTACGCCCGTCACCGTCTGCGGGGACATCCACGGGCAGGTAAGGCCGGGCCGGGCCGCTCCCGGTGCAGCCCCGGGCCGCAGTCGGTGCCGATGCCCGGTGCCCCTCACGCCTCTCTCCCCCCGCAGTTCTATGACCTGTGCGAGCTGTTCCGGACCGGCGGGCAGGTCCCCGACACCAACTACATCTTCATGGTAGGTGTCCCGCTGGGTTCGACAGGGGCTGGGGCCGAAAGCCCGAGGGGCTCCCGAGTCCCGGGGCCGCTGTTGGCTCCGGCCCGCCGGGAGCTGCCGGGAGCCCGCGGGGTGAGGCACAGCGCCCTGCCCTGCCCGGGTGTCCCGGGGTCACGTCAGGACAGCGGTGAGGGGAGTGCCCAGCCCACAGCTGACAGCCGGAGCCGCCGCGGGTCCCGGCAGGGCCGCTGCCCTCCGGCGCCGGGTTTCTTTGTGGCAGTGAGCAGCTGAGAGCCGGTGTGTCACTGCACTTTCTCGGTGACTGTGCTCCGTGTGTCTCTGCCTTCAGGGGGACTTTGTAGACCGAGGGTATTACAGCCTGGAGACCTTCACGTTCCTCCTTGCACTGAAAGCCAAGTGGCCTGACCGCATCACGCTGCTGCGAGGCAACCACGAGAGCAGGCAGATCACCCAGGTGTACGGGTTCTACGGTGGGTGCCGCTGTGCCACGCTGTGCCTGAGCTCCCCTGCCTCGGGACGGCAGCCGCGGTGCCCGGGCTGGGTGGGACACGGGCTGCGGGCTGTCGTTTGGCAACATGGCCGTTGTGTTTCTGAAATGGAACGTGTTTAAGGCAGACCTTGCTGCTCTCTTCCTCTGGCACGTGGGGTTTCTGCTTGTGTCGTGGTGCCACGCTCAGGCACGGGCAGAGCGGGAGGTGCTCGGTCCCTGCTGCTGCTGCTGGCAGGGCTCCTGTGGCACACCTGGGTGTGCAGGTTCTGCTCTCAGGGTTTGCTCTGCCTGTCCTCTCTATTCCACGAGGAATAAAACTGTTCTATCCCACAGACGAGTGCCAAACCAAATACGGGAACGCGAACGCCTGGAGATACTGCACCAAAGTCTTTGACATGCTCACAATAGCAGCTGTAAGTGCCAGCAGCACGGTAACAGCACCAGCAGCTTGTGCAGAGGGGAGCTGCAGGGCTGCTGAGCTGAGGTTCCCCTGGCAGCCGTGCTGAGCGTTCTGTGCCCTCCTTCCCTGCAGTTAATAGACGAGCAGATCCTGTGTGTGCACGGGGGCCTCTCCCCAGACATCAAGACCCTGGACCAGATCCGGACCATCGAGCGTAACCAGGAGATCCCTCACAAAGGCGCCTTCTGCGACCTGGTGTGGTCGGACCCGGAGGACGTGGACACGTGGGCCATCAGCCCCCGCGGGGCGGGCTGGCTCTTCGGGGCCAAGGTCACCAACGAGGTAACGCTGCCCAGAGCCCACTGCTGCTGCCCAGAGCTCACTGCTTCCCAGAGCCCACTGCTGCTGCCCAGAGCCCCCTGCTGCCCAGGGCCCCCAGGGCCCACTGCTGCCCAGAGCCCACTGCTGCTCAGAGCCCCACTGCTGCCCAGGGCCCACTGCTGCCCGGGGCCCCCAGGGTCCCACTGCTGCTCAGAGCCCCGCAGCCCAGGCTGGGGATGGGGGAGCTGAGGGGCTCAGCTCAGCATGGTGTTTGAGTGCACCGAGGGCACTGCAGGACACTGAGCTCCCCGGTCACGCCTCTGCCAGGTGGGGAAGCTTGGCTTGTGCCAGCTGGAAAAAATGAGCCACTTGAACCTAAAAGCACAAATGTAACTGCCAGATGTACTAATACCCATCTTACTTTCGATAAGTGTGATGTGGTGGGACTCACTAGTGTCCCTGGGCTCTGTGTGGAGTGGTTTCCAAAGGATCTAGGAGAAAAATACAATTTTTTAAGCAATCCTTGAGTTAATTTTGTTGTGTCTGCACTGCTCAGACTCCTCAGGGCTCTAGACAGTGGCCTTGCCAGGCTCTGACCTGGCCACGCTCAGCCTGCGTTGTCGTGTGGCCCTGGCACAGCACGTTAGGAAGGCTTGAGCGAGGGCACAGCACAGCCCTGCTGCCTGGCTGTCAGCTGTTGCTCAGTGTATTTCACAGGGTTCCTCACTGCTGCAGCCCTGTTGTGTTCTGTGTCCCGCTGGGCAGGCCAGGAGCAGTGCAGCCCACGCTGACCTCCCCCTTCCCTTGCAGTTCGTTCACATCAACAACCTGAAGCTGATCTGCAGAGCGCACCAGCTGGTCCACGAAGGATACAAATTCATGTTTGATGAGAAGCTGGTAACGGTATGGTCAGCTCCCAACTACTGCTACCGCTGCGGGAACATCGCGTCCATCATGGTCTTCAAAGATGTAAATACACGAGAACCAAAGTTATTCCGCGCAGTTCCAGACTCAGAGCGAGTCATTCCTCCCAGGACAACCACGCCGTACTTCCTCTGAGCCCTCGCCCGCCTGCTGTCACCTCTCCCTGTCCTGCCCCTTTACAATATACTTTTTATTGAGCACTTTGCTGCTGAAATGCTGCCTCTTGCCTTTTTTATTTTTAAATTATCTAAATTTATTGTGTATTATGGTGTCTGTAGCAAGTTTTTTTTTCCCCCCGCCCCTAGATTAATTTCAGAGTATTTGTAATATGTCCTTGAGATTTGTACTACTGCATGTAGTCCTTGCCTCGTCCTGGGTTAGATGAACCGATTCCTTTAACCACCGCGCTCCGGGAGCCGCTCGGGCCCGTCTCTTGATCAGCTTTTTGTTTTTGGTAAGTTTTAAGAAATTTCAGCAGCAAAGTCAGTGCCCGGTGTGCGGCGGGGCCGGGGCTGCCCGTGCTGCGTTCCCGGCGCAGGACCGAGCCAGCCTTTTCCGAGTGTTCCGTGGATCCCAGTAAAGCGCTCGAAGGGCCGTTCCCCGTTCCCGGTTTGTTCCGTTTTCCTCGGGATCCCGATTAAACCCGCGAACCTGCTGCAGCGACGGGATTTGTACATTAAAGTCATTGTTCGGATTTTTCCCAGGCTCTGTTGTGTTTTCACTGGCGGCGCGCGCGGGCCGGGCCGGGGCGGGGCGGGGCGCGGCGGCCGCGCGGGTTCCGCTTCCGCCGGGGCCGGCGCCGTTTCCGGCTGGCGCGGGGCCGGGGCGGCGGGGATGGCGCGGAGCACGCTCTCGTCCCGCTTCCGCCGCCTCGACATCGACCAGTACGACGAGAACCGCTTCGTGGAGGAGCCCGAGGAGGCGGCGGCGGCCGAGCCCGATGCCAGCCCCGAGGTGGAAGCGCTGCTCAGGCAATATCCTTTGGGCGGGGGGGTCCCGGGGGCCGGGGCGGTCCCGGGGACCGGCCGTGATGCCCGCTCGGGGCCCGAGCCGGCCGCGGGCCGCGCTGCCGGTCGGTGCCCGCGCGTCCCGCGCACGCAGGTCCCGGTTTGAGTCCTTGACCCGCCGCCGCACAGGCGAGGCGCTCCGGGCCTTCCACACCGCCATCCGCAGCTCCCCGGGCAGCGGCAGGAACCAGGCGATGAAGGTACGGGCCGGGCAGGGACAGCGGCTCCCCGCGCTCGGAGCAGCACCGCTGCGGTCGGTGAGCCGGTGCTGGCACGGGGGATCCCCCTGGGGTCCCCCCGGGATCCCCCTTCCTCCTCCAAGCCCAGGTGTGCTCACCTCGCTTGCAGAAATAACCCAGCCTGGAGCGTGGCCGTCTCTGGCCAAACACGAGTCTTGGGATCGTTCCCTGCTGTTCTCGTTCTCACATTTCTCTCTTTGCCTTGTCTTCCCAGGAGCAGGCCCAGGGAACGATGCTTAAAGTCCTCACATCTTTTAAAAGCAGTGAAATAGAACAAGCGGTGAATTCCTTAGACAGAAACGGTATTGATTTGTTAATGAAGTACATTTATAAAGGATTTGAAAAGCCAACAGAAAACAGCAGTGCAATATTACTTCAGTGGCACGAAAAGGTACGTGTTGGGGGCAGCCTTGGCTCAGCCAGGCTCGCAGGGGTTTCAGGAGAGCCCTGAAGGGAAGCAGGTGCTGCAGGGCCTCATCCCTGAGGAGCTCAGTGTTTCCTTTCATCTTTGGTCTCTCTGAGCCTGCATTGACAAAGCCTCTGCCTGTATTTCAAACCTTACCCCCACGGGGAGAGGAGACTCGGGGCAGGGAGCTCTCCCTGCAGGAGAAAGCCTCGTGCTGCCGAGGGCATGTGGGCAGCAGGGCTCCACGAGGAGAGGGGTGGCAGGGGACACGGGGCAGCTGCAGCTTCCTCTGCGCCCAGCTCGGGGGGCTCAGGCTGGCAGTTTGCATCAGCTGAGTCTCAGGGTTTAGCACACTTGTTTGGTTCGCCCAGGAGAGGATTTGGAGGTGTCCAGAGATTCCACTGGGGACCAGCAGGGGCCTCTTGCCCCTGTTTCTGTGGAATGTCAGCTGTGAAGCAGGGAGTGTGGGATGTGTTCAGCAGCTGACTGTGGAACCTCCTTCCCTGTCTGTGATGGGCTGAGGCACATCCCTGCAGCAGCTGCTGGCTGCCCCTGCCCCGGGCAGGAATCCAAGTGAACTCCTGTCCCACTGCAGGGGTTTCAGCTGAAGCCCTGGCTGTCAGTGCTCCTAGGAAAACTGATCCCTGGGAATGCTGCAGCTCCCTGTGCAGAGCAGCTGCTGTGAGTGCTGGTGTCCTTTCCCAAGGTGCAGAGCTTTTTCCTGCTGTACGTGAAGCTGGTGTAGTGTGACTCCAGCTACTGCTCCTGTCACCAGCTTTGCCAAGCCTTGACAAGGGAGGAGGGAATTTCTCAGGACAGCAAAGAACATGTTTCTGCTTGGGTTTTTTTTCCATTTTTTCCTGTTGTTTCCACTGAGGTGCTTTCAGGTAAGTGTGGGTGGTGCTCCCAGCATGGGAGGTGACACACCACCACCCTGACTGGTACTCAGAGCATGTAGGGACATGAAAGGCATCTCGTCCTCTCTGTTGTGAAAGAAACAAGGCAGGTCTGAGTAGGCAGGGTTAAAGCCTGATTGTTCTGCTTTGTGGCAGTACTGGTAGGATGTGTGGCTTGCTCAGAGCAGAGTCAGCTCAGTGGTAGTACCAGTCTGTCCTCTGGAAAAGGCCTGTGGCAGGTCTGGTGGCTCAGGAGCATTTACCTGCCTGGAGCACCTGCCAGTCCTGCTCCAGGTGGGTGCTCTGTGTTTGTCCAGCCGTGGTCCCCAGGGCCCAGCTCTGCTCTGATCCCTGTGCTCCGTCGCCTTGTGGCTGCAAAGTAAATGCCCCACTTCCAGCAGTCAGCTTAAATACTTATTTTTTTCATAATCACCTCCATCTTCTAGACTTCAGAAGGAAACACTGTTCACATTGAGGGACACAAACGAAACTGAAGCGAGCCCTTCCTCCTCTCCTCAGGGATGCAGGAGGTGAGACATTCTGCTCTGTCAGTGACTTGCAACACTGGAGCCCTCGAGATCCAAAAGCTGGTTAGACTGTGGAGAATGACAGTCTCTAGTTTTGGAGCAGAGCCATAGTCCCTTCCGTGGCTAAACTCTTCAGTGTTTGTTCTGTGTGGGATGTGGTGACTCTGTACCCTCTCTCCTTTCCCACAGGCACTGGCAGTAGGAGGCCTGGGCTCCATTATAAGAGTTCTCACAGCAAGAAAGACTGTGTAAAGACTTAACTTGGACAGAGGTGACGGTCAGGTTTGGACTCAGAAGAAGGAATGAGCTGAAAGTACACTGGTCCATCTTTATTAGAGATTGCAATCTACTGAAATCCTACAGTAACCTCCTCTTGGAATGCTTTTAACCTTAAAGGTGGGGGAAGAGTAAAGGTATTCCTGCATATTCCGACTATCACGTATAGGAGCCAAGACATTCTCCTGCTCCCTTCTTTAACAGGCAGAGAGAAGGCACACTCCTGCCTCCTGTTACTGTAAGTGAACAGGTATTTCAGATGCTGCTTTAGCCAGGTGTGGTGTCCTGCTTAGTCCCCAGGTAGCTGTGTCCAGCTGAGATCTGCAGCTGAGGGTGGGAGAAGGGCTGTTGGAACGGCTGTGAACGTGCGGGTGAAGGACTCTTGGACTCTGGGGTTGGGTTCATGTAAAGTGAAGTGCCTGCTGCATCAATAAAGTTCTTGGATCACGTGAGTTAAATTTATTTTCAGCTAAATTGTAAGTCTGACAGTTACTCCACAGCAGGCCTGCAATAACCCAGTACAACCCAGTGTCCACCTTGGTAGGACTGCTCCTAACTCCAGCAACTTTGAGAATTTGTCCTCAAATCCAGCTCTGTCCTGGATGTAGGGAGTGAGTTCAGCTGTCCCAATCAAGACTTACAAGATGCAGTGAACAGAACACACAGTAAGCACCCTGGCTTTGATTTTTATGTTCTTATCCACGCTAGAAAGTCGAGCAGATACTTCAGCACTTGTGACTTTGTGATCAGTGTGTCCTCTGCCCAGGCAGGACACACCTCCTGGATCCATGGCTGTCCCCTCGTCCCTCTGGCTCGGGCAGGGCTCCCTGCCCTTTGGCACCAAGGAGCAGCTGCCCGGGGAGCCCCAGCTCCACCCAGCCCTCGCTTCCATCAGCAGCAGCTGGTCCTGCTGGGAGGGGATTTTGGAAGCAGCAGTGGCACAAGTCCCTGTGGGAGGCCTTGGTGGCACAGCTGGCACACCCATCCTCACCCTGGGCAAAGGTGGGGTTTGGGTCATGGTTTAAAAGTCAATTTTAAATAGCTATAGCATCCCAGTGGAGATAACCAGAACTATAAAAAGAAGGAAATCAAGATCAGGGGTTTGATCCAAAATGTATTGCACCACAAATTTCATAGTGTTTCATCATACAATCCATATTTACAGCATAGAAGGAATGTAGGGAGTGAGTTCAGCTGTCCCAATCAAGACTTACAAGATGCAGTGAACAGAACACACAGTAAGCACCCTGGCTTTGATTTTTATGTTCTTATCCACGCTAGAAAGTCGAGCAGATACTTCAGCACTTGTGACTTTGTGATCAGTGTGTCCTCTGCCCAGGCAGGACACACCTCCTGGATCCATGGCTGTCCCCTCGTCCCTCTGGCTCGGGCAGGGCTCCCTGCCCTTTGGCACCAAGGAGCAGCTGCCCGGGGAGCCCCAGCTCCACCCAGCCCTTGTTTCCATCAGCTTCCATCAGCTGCTCAAAGTGCAGCAGCAGCTGGTCCTGTTGAGAGGGGATTTTGGAAGCAGCAGTGGCACAAGTCCCTGTGGGAGGCCTTGGTGGCACAGCTGGCACACCCATCCTCACCCTGGGCAAAGGTGGGGTTTGGGTCATGGTTTAAAAGTCAATTTTAAATAGCTATAGCATCCCAGTGGAGATAACCAGAACTATAAAAAGAAGGAAATCAAGATCAGGGGTTTGATCCAAAATGTATTGCACCACAAATTTCATAGTGTTTCATCATACAATCCATATTTACAGCATAGAAGGAAAGAAGTCCAATGGTGATAGAAAGGATTATGTATAACCACTGTTCTGAGACAAGGGAAAGTGCATTAGCTTTTTAATACATGTATACACACCAGTCTTGCTCTGATACCTAACAAAAATTCAACACTTAAGAACTAGTTGATGGTAAGTTGATCCTTTATGAGCTTTGGGATCTGAGACTGAAGTTGTTAGTGAATATGTAACATAAGATTTTACTTTGTCACTCCGTTCCAGGCTGCCTGTCCTGCTTTCCTTACTGTTCAGCAGTAACCTCTGCAGATCAGCATAAACCCAACAGTCATTCAGCAGGAGTCCTGATCCCTGGTCCCACAGAAACAGGGCAGGGCCAAGGGACATTAGAAAGGAAAAGATCTCAGAGAATAAAATCTTCCTGGAACCAACAGGGTTATTCCACCCTGCTGTATCTCAGTAAAGAAATAATTGAAATAAATGTACTTTTTGATTGTCTATTTTCACAGCAGAGCAGGGCTGAGCCCTTCCATGCTCCATCCTCTCTGGAAGTGCCATGAATCTGATTACTAAAGACTGTTTGGACAAGCTTTGTCCAAAAGTCAAAGTACAAAAAGGCTTTTGTACCAAAAAATTCTATTGGTTTTCTTAACTTCAGAGAAATCCAACCTGGCTCTAACTGGGGAGCAGCACCTGTGCCCAGTGGCAGCTCCTGGGAGTACCTGTGTCTGGGAGACCAGCAGGCTCTGGATCCTCTGGATCAGCACATTCACCTCCTGCTGGAGCACTGGAGAAAGCTTGAATCATCCTGAATATGTTTAACAGAAGCATCAACTTGTAAGAGAATTCCCAGAACTGCAGCATGCTCACTGGATTCCATACATGTGTAGATTTTTGGGATAGGTCTCAGTTTTCAGTAGTCAGACTTAGTGCTGCTTCCCATTTGGATCCAGATTTTGCAGTGGTGTTAATAAACTCTGGCCAAAATTGTGCTTCCAGGGAGGAAGTGCCCCCTTGGCACCTGTCCTTATTGTATTAGGAAAACAAGCTGCTGGAACCACAACTTGTTCACTAAGAGTTGAATTTTGCCCTCAAACCCCTCATGAGCAGCATTTCTTTTACCATAATAGTCAGGAGTTAACAGTTAACATATTCATAACAGTTTTTAAGCATCAGTATTTGAAGTACAGAAAACCACAACCAAAGAGGCAGATCCTGGTTATAAAGATTTGTTGCTAGCAGACTTGGAAGGAAAAAAAAAAAATGAAAATGTTCAGTACCAGCATTCTTCACCCTTTGTAACTAGATTTTTATTTTTTTAAAATAAAAGGTACTTTTTCAGTGTGGATTTACAACGCCTGGAACTCAGCTTTAAAAATTAAAATGGTTTCCTACCTCTTTTCCCACTGCTAACAACCCATGGAACAGGCTAATGGATTAGTTTTAAAGGCGACTGAGGATTAGGTACTATAATTAAGACCATTTTAAATATTATTTTTCTTTAAGAAAAGTAAAATCAGACAACTCTAAAGTTGTGCTCTCAAATTAAATAATCATCAACATGCAGCCTTGAGGGCTGCAGGCCAGGATAAATGCACCTTAAATTACACAGTGATATGAAAAAATGCCAACCATTAGTTAATGTCAGTATTAGAAGGCAAGGCAGAGTTCTTTTTTGGTTAAAGCTCCTGCTCCTGTCCTGTGAAAGGCTTTGCAACCATCCCACTCTCAACACTGTTCTGCCAACACATTTCTCATTGCTGGCTTCCACAGCCAGACAAGCAGCTTTTCTGTGCCCAGAGCCACTGGACTGCAGCACCTGGAACAGCAGCTGGAATCACCATGCCAAGAGCCTGAACTGGCAGCCCTGCTGTCAGCAAGGTCCTCAGAACCTCTGGAACCCAGGAGTGATGAGCACAAGGAGCTGCTCCCATCACAGACACCGAGGTGGTCCCTGACTCCAGCCCAGAGCTGTTCCAGTCTCTAGTGAAAATGTCTCCTTGCACAGTATTAGTTTTGTAAACAGAGCCAGAAGTTCTTGTACAAAATACTGCAATGACAGTGATTAAGACACACCTGGAGCAGTGTGTTCAGCATTCTTTTCACAGAAAGAAGTGCCTGGATACTGCCTGCCACCTTCGGGTTCCCTTAAGGCCACAGAGTCCTTGGGCTGGAGATGGACGGCCGGATGCTGCCTTTGGGAGATGGCTTTGAGCCAAACCAGGACATCTAGGACACAACAGCACAGCACACATCACACAGGGGCACGCTTTCAAGGTGTGAAAAAGAAATAACATGGTACACGGCCATGTTCTCCTCATTTGATGGAAAAACCTATTTATACATCAGAAGGCTGCAGACTCCAGACTGAAGAAGTGGAGGCAGCTTCACACAATCAGATCTGGAAGGAACAGCACCCACTTCCCACAGGTGAAAATGACTGAAGATTATACCTACATATATTCCTTTAAAATAATTTCAGGTTAGAACTGTACAGTCATTTAAACACAGTGCCTTTAGTCAGTGTAGCATTAGTGCTCCCTGAAGCAGATGGTGAGGAAGTCTCTTCATCTGCAGACTGCACATCCCAACTCCCTGCGTGGGCAGGGATGATGCAGGACCTGGAGCTGAGGCAGCACCCACTGTTGAACATTCCCTAACCACCACAGAGCCAGGGCCATGCAGATCTCAGCCCATGGAAAGGAGACACAGATCTTGGTGGCTGAGCCCAGTGTCAGAAGGACAAGCCCAGAACCAGGGTCTGCTGTTAAACACAGCTTGGGCAAGGAGCTCCCAGCTTCTCCCCACAGATCAAGTCCACTGGGCAAAGCTGTGCTCCAACTCCTCTGAGCACCAGAAAGCTGCTATTTCCCTCACTGAAAGGGACAATTCCTGGCATGCATGTAATAATAAATTACATTTATTATTGTAGCTAACACTCAGAAAAAAGACACTTTTCCTAATCTCCCAGCATGTAGCAATTTTCATTATCTCATTAGAGACCACACATGGCACAGAACCCTTACCTTGTACTCCAGAGTTTCTTTGAGCATGTTTTCTTCCTCTTGTGAAAAATTCAGTAACACAGACACAGCTTTAATGAGATGGAATGCCTGAAAGAAACCAGAGTTGTGTTCCAAACACGTTGCTGTCAGCTATTTTGTTTTATTGCCCTCACTGTACACTTTTTAATTGTAAAATTAGGGAATTGGCATAAAGTGTCCTTAGGGGGCGACAGGTGGCAATTTCTAGAGAAAGAGAGATGTAGAAAGAGAAGATAAGTGGCACCTTTACCTCAGACTCCCTGCAGGACATGAACTTTAGTACCACATGTTTAAGGTACTCGAAGTTGATCTCCCTCGAGTCGTTCAAGTCAGAGTTGTTGGTGACAGTCACAGAAGCATTAGGCACTTCAGAATTTGCACGTAGCTCAGGTACCTCACTGTCAGGCCTTATTTTCTACAGAAAATAAACAACCCACAGAAGAAAAAGAGAAGTACATTGCAGATGCTGTTAGCTTGACACTGGGAGGGGTCTGGGTTCAGGATATCTAGAGGGTTGTACCCACAGGAGGGTACAAACTGGGCATCAACAGCTGCTCACCCATCGTGGGGTCACAGCACAGAAGTGTCTCCAGCTCTCCCCACACTCCAGGACAGGAGCTGGCTGATGTCAGTGTTCTGTGCACATTACTCAAATGGAGCA